CTCGTCCGGGATAATCCGGGCTCTATACGGAAGGGATAATCGTCGGCCGCTCGCGCGGGGATGATTCGCGGAAGAGGTCGAATTGCGAATGCGGGGAGAGAAAAAAAAATGCGAAATCCCACATCGCTCCGAACCGTCTCGCGGGGCTCGGATGGAAATTCGCGGATTCGTTCGATACTTCAGCGACGTGATGCTGCACGCGCACGTAGGCATATACGTTATGTACATATGCATCAGGTCGGAACGGTGGACCGATGGCTGATCCGGGTGATGGACTAAAGTTCGAACAAACGGTATTCGGCGATTGATTGAAATTCCGTTTTTTCTCTTTTCTTTTCGAACCTTTTGCGCCTGCAAGCGTACCGGCGCGCTTTCGAGAGAGGAAGAGAAAGAGAGTGAGAGAGCGTGAGTGAGCGAGAGAGAGAGAGAGAGAGAGAGAGAGCTCGGTCGGACCGCGCGAGCGGAATGAGAGATGCGTTTTAAAGTCCGCAACGGCTGAGTTAACGCTTTCCGTGCAGGGTGATCATCGCTTACGATGCCGAATGCGCATCCCCCATTACGGCGTGTATGCCAGGGATGTTGCTAACCGCAAGTAATTTTCGCGGATGGCGGAGCACGATTACCTCCGCGTGTGAAGGGGGGGGAGGGAGCGGGGTTGCCTTCGGGAGCACGCGTCGTATCCGCTGAGCGGATTCGCTTATACGGCATACCGTTACGTGGAAAAACCGATGTTCATTTTTTCGTTCGAAATGCGGTAATGCAATTGCGGTCGGGAGGCGAGTGTGTGTGCGCGCAGGTTTTCAATTCTCGCCCTTAGCCAGCCTCGAAGGGGGGTCTCCTCCGCGGCGTCTCGTTCGACTCGCGAAATCCTCGAGTGTTCGAATTATCGATCTCTGCCTCGACGCCGGCATGCATCCCTGCAGTTGCGGTACGGATCGTTTCTAATATGCCCCGTGCATTCATACTGCCAGCGATTTGCGTTCAAATAAGAGAAACGCGTCGCAGCCCGAAGGCTAATATGGAGCGTATTTAACGAAGGGCGGAGAGCAGAGTGGAGCGGAGCGAAGCGGGGGCGGATTTCATGCAATTAGTAGGACAGATCTGTCAAGGTTGAGAATCACTGCCAGGCTGCATCCATGAAGATGAAAGGGAACTGGTCGTGGCGAGTCAAAGAATCTCTCCGCGGAGCGGAGTGCCTCTTGTTTCGCTCCGTTCTCCGTTCGTCGTTTCCTTTCCAGCCGGCGATTTTACCTTTTCTGACGATATTACGTTTCATCGTATTACGTAAATTAAAAGCGGGGAAGGAATAGCGGCAGTCGCGGCGATTGAAGCACGAGCGCGCGCTTTCGTCGTCCGTTTTTTTTCATAAATTGAATATTATAGGTACATATTGTCGAGCAAAATATATTATATTAAAACCTTTTTGGACTTATATTTTGGATTATATTAAACCTTTTTGGACTTTATATATTTTATATCTTTAGATTTTATATCTATAGACTTTATATATAGAGAATACAATGTTAAACGTAATAACGTCGGACAGAATATTCGGTGAGATACACTTCCCTCGTTTTCCTGAAATCAATATCCCCCCCGACGCAACTTCCGTTAAATGCAACCGCCGCGAGAAATATTGGGTAAGGAAAATCGAGCGTGAGATTACGCGCGTGACTTTACGTGCCACTTTATTAAGGATACATCATCTCCGTCGTGGAGGATCGATCGAAGGAACCGAAGTTAACCGCGAGGCTAAGGATCGGGCCATGATCGACATTTAATTTACCAATAATCGAGTTACTCGTTAAAGCGATATAATACATAATTAACGGGGGAGGATCGCCTGATGGCGCGTTGCGTTCACTTGTATAATGTCTATCAAAAGGAGCACACCTGTTATTTGGTCTTGTCCTCGAAATTCTTAAGAGTCGCGGGAAGCGCGAGGAAGAAACGAACGTTTCCTGACGTTCGGTCGTCAGCGGTCAAGTCGTCGATGCTCCCGGCACGCGATATGAACTTTACGACCCGCGTGAGTGTCGCATTAAGCGACGCGAAAAACTTATCTCTGCGAAGTTGCAAGAAGCACCGACGGCGGGAGGGAGAGGGACGTTTTTCCGGGACTCCGGTTCCCTTTATTCGCGCGCGCGTCTCGGCGAACGCGCATCGCGCAATGCACGCGCGGCTATATTTACGCGCTGCTCGTAAACGGCGGACAGCCGGGCGCGGTTACATTTCCGCGTTAATGCCGCCTGCAGTCCGTTTAAAATGCGTTAAACTAATTGCCTGCTCGCGCCGCGTTATCATCGCCCACCTCTCGCGACTGGCAACCCGTCGAAACTCGTTTATCGCTCGCTCGCTCGTTCGCGTGGAATCGCTGCGGGCCATCAGAAGGGGCGAGAAGCTTATATTTAGAACGTGGCGTCTGCGGGGCGCGTTGCACAATATATGTCGAACGGATTAACGAAGAAACGCGATCCCCCAGTAATTTATTTTTCATCGATCTTAAAGGATCCTTGAATGATCTCGCGGGAATCTCTCGCCAAGAAATCTCTCGCGCATCTCGTCTCGTTGACTCGTATTAATCAAAAACAGTGGGATTACCACTGTTATTTTACAACATCTGCGATTTTGTATTATCACGTCGCACGTTTATCGGCGGCGGATGACATATCGGAAAATATAAAACGCGCGTCGGAAGCTCGCGACAGTTAATTTAACGTTAATGTCATTTTCCCGTTATTTCGTTTCGTCGCTGCATTTTTGCGCGCACGCGTACGATTGCTGCATCTCTCTCTCTCTCTCTCTCTCTCTCTCTCTCACCGCGAGAGGAGCGAAAACGCATTTTATCAAACGAAAAGGTCAGCTGGTGTGGAAATTTATAGTAATAATTTCCGGCGTTGACGCAAAAGTTGTTAAGCTCCGATGAACAATGAACGTAGGGAGGGGGAAAGGGGGGCGAAGGGCGGTTGAAGATCTTATTGGAAAAGTTCATGAGCTGATTAAGAGGCTCTTTGAAGTTTATCCCAAAGTGGCATTTATAACGAGGGATGCTAAATTGCCGCGACACCTCGCGGGGTTTGAATAACGACCGGTACCGGAATTTATCGGGGGATGTCACCCGGAAAATGTATATCTCTTCCCGGTTTCACGCGGAAAAAAAATTTCGCGGACTTGCACTCTTTCGCGCATTAGAGGATCGATACCTTTTTAATCTCCTTGCGGTCGCGCTTCTCCACAAAACCGGGTGGACTCTTTCGCGTGAGCGCCACCACGTCACTCCCGCCCTTGGGAGAGGCGACGTTTATTTTGCCGCGCGTCAACGAAGAAATAAAAACGGACGCTTTCTCGTCAAGAAGCGAAGACGAGTCTTCGGGCTGCGCTGCGGTGTATGATAGCGAGTTGTTACCACCGACGTGTGTCACGCCCGTCGCCGACGACGATAAATAACATCGTCACATTTAATATTGTGAGAGAGAGAGAGAGAGAGAGAGAGAGAGAGAGAGAGAGAGAGAGAGAGAGGCGGCGGAGATGCGCCGCCTGATAAAATTTGCAACAAAGACTCGCGGCGAAGGAAAGAGTTCACGCGTCAGTCATCGCGGCCTTACTTGGCGACGCTTATCCCGTCGCTCCGTTAATTGATTTCGTCCGGTGTTAGGAAAAAAAAAACCTGTGCACTTTGCGACTTCGGGTGCGACGCCGGTGTGCTTCGCTGCAGAGTCGCCGACTGACGTCGCCGCGTTTCTATATCGCGGCCGCGGGCAACCACCGGTGGAAATGGGCATGTTTATCGATTGATTGATTTGTCGGTTTGCGCTCCGGCCGAATTGTTGTTGAAAAAATGGAGGAAAAAAATGAGAGAGAGAGAGAAGGGAATTTACGCGCCACATGCGCTGCTCCTGCCCGGCGCAAATCCCGATGCGATGCATCGGCGCCGGCGATGACAGTGGTTGTTGCACCCGGCCGGCGATAAATAGTACGACCGTGTCGTGACAGGAGCGCCGGAGATGTTATTAACGACAATCGATCTAATATTAATCTCGCCCACGTTTTCCCGACGTGGTCTATACTACCCCCCGGGAGGGAGGAAAAGCGGAGGTGAGGCCACACGCGCGTCTGGTCGCGCGACCCCGGGGGACAGTGCTCTCCGCACCGCGTGTCGATCGGCTCGTCACCGGCGGCGCCAGCGGAAAGTATCGCTGGATGCACTGGATGCACATATGTATATATATATATATATAT